AACTGATTGAGATCCTGGACAGCTCTATTTATGTCTATTTCGCTTCCTCGTTGATTTTTTACGAAATTTCCCAGAAAGCTGGGTACGCTGCATATTTACAACACTGTGATTGCTGAAGGAAGTGCTGGTTGTAGGTTTTCAGATGTAGCTCAGTTAAATAAAACAGAGACATTAAAAAACTATATCATGCGTTGTTGAAAAATCGCCCCGTAGTTACTGTTTTCACTTGAGTTAAAAATAAATTCAAGCTCTATTGCGGACCATTTCATTTCATGCGTTAGTAGGTTGCTATCCCACTGTTACTCTGATGAACTGGGCCACTCATTTTACACTGACCTGTTTGTCTGTATAAAATCGATATAGTGTCTTTCCTCTTATATTCCGTTGTTTTTGTTAACGCGTGTTACACAAATAAGTGGTCAGCGCGAAGGTAGCAGATTTTTCTCTCCTTTCATCTCTTTCATCTCTCTCTCACCCCTGGGAATTCGCCAAACTGTTGAAGCTTACTTTAAAGTCGCAGCATATTTTACAGTCAATGCAGAAAATTACTTTAGTCGCCGTCTGATTGGGGGGACTGTTGGTTGCATAATCTATCCTAAATAATTGAAGCACATGTCCAATGTTACCAAGTCTGAAGGAAGTGCTGATCATAGGTCTTAGAAGTCTAATTAGTATCTTAGTTAAAACATAGTATACCGATCATCTCATATCTCTGCTTACTAGAGAGACGAAATTATGAGTCTAGCTTAGTTCATCACACTTGCGACATATCGACATACATGCAACAACATAAACATAACGACATAACAAGGACGTTATGTCGTTATGTTACGGCAAAGTGAACATGCTGACATATTGTCAGGTTTCAGCGGCTAAATACTCGTATTTTCTGCATCATTTGGGATTGATTAAAGATTATATCATGTGTGAAAAAAAAAACATGGAAAGAACGGGAATATTACGTCTGCGTAAGAGGCTGGGATTTTTTGGATTATTTTGGAGTACAATCACTAACACCTTTAGAGGGGTGATACAAATTTACGGACTCATGATATATTCGGCTCAGTCAGAAAGTACAAGATTCTTTATAGAGCACAAGTTCTAATTGCACTAATTGTACCAGTGAGTTTACTTTATTTCTTCATCATTTAATTTGCACCATATATCACGATTCAGTTTCACTAGAACACTGTTATACTGTACAATACAAATAAACAATAGCCTTCATTTGGCGCGAAAATATGCTCGGATATTTGTCCGCGGACATCATTTGTTCCGAGAAGCGAGCAGTTTTCCGAGAGTGAAGCTCGAGGAAAACTGTGAGCTTCGAGGAACAGATAATGTCCAAGGACAAATATCCGAGCTTATTATATGGCAAGGTAGTCTTGAGGTAAATCCGAGCGTTCTGATTGGTTCTTTCTTGGTCGGGATTTCGCCATACCACCGTTTCCATGGAAACGGTCATAAACTGTGTATTTTTTTGTTTTCGAAAGCCAGCAAATTCAAAACAAGCATGGCCCGAGTGCCATATAATAAACTTCTTACTAACCTAGCTAGCTCGAGCCGTACTGGGTAATATTGGCCCTCAGTCGTTTTTGTACGGACCTCGCTGCGCTCGGTCCTTATTGCCACGACCTCGGGCCAATATTCCCCAGTACGGCCCTCGCGCTCGGTTAGTAAGAGGTTAACATTTTCAAAGTCAAATGGAGGCTATTGTGTTTATTAACCTTTAAATATTTTTCGCAATACGCGCAGTTTTGAAAAGTGGGAAATATTCTCGGATATTCCACGGTTTTCGGTCACGTGACGCGTTTAGACCGATCGCGCGCGAGCGAAAATATTTCATGGATCATAACTACTGATATTAAGTATGTTGAACATTAATTAATTAATAATAATCAAAAAATCCTGTCTTCTAAAAATTAATGACGTCATAGCGATTAGATCAATCCAGATTTTGCGAATAAATTACGTCGGAAAAGTTGCTCCAAAAAATCCTTTGAGCGTTTCAAAAAATGCTTAAAATAAGAAAAAGTGTCCCCGAAAAAACAAAAGTGGTTTCAAACAGCAAAAACATATTTCTAAAAATTTACTTGTCCCATAATAACCACATTACCAAGGAGGAAACGTTCAAAATTTCGAAAATTGAAAATCCCAATAGCTGCTAAAAAGTTCCTTTGCAAAAAGAAAAAATGTAAATCTTATTTAAAGTGGTCATACACTTAGATATACAAGCACTAAGTCTAACTAGTTTACAGGCATGCCACTGAAACAAAGGAAACAAAGGAAACAAATATTCAAACAAAGGAAACAAATATTGCAAAAAAAAAAAAAAAAAAACAATCTTCTGAAAGTTAATGTTGATTTTAGAATACCTTGTTACAAATCCCATCAGCAAATTAGATAGAAGTTCATTTTAAATTAACTTAACAATTTCACATTTTTGAAACCATCATAAAAAGATTTAAGCAATAGAACACTTTTTCCTTGTTTACATGTAGCTTTGCCTAAACACGAAATTCGAGACAGTTATGTGCATCTAGAGTTCGCATAACTTTGGAGAATTCTTCCAACCCCCAACTGTTAAAATGAGGCTATATACCTACAAAAAAACTACTCTGTTGTTTTTATGAAATATTTCTCAAGAATACGCGCGAATCTAAAACGTCACAACCGTGTTTACATACTCTCATCTAAACACACGCTGTCGACCAATAAGGGCGCGCGTAGCAGCTCAGTTATATTATAAAAGTCCTTAACAATTTGACGTTTTTAAAACCGTCATAAAAAGATAATGTGATAGCCAGAGACAACTAGCTTGATCTACATTTCACTTATGGTATCTCTCCTTCCATTTCCTACTCTCTTATTAACAACTCCGACAGCATAAATCGTAGCCACAATGGTTTAGAAGCGAGGTACCAATAACAACGGGGTGGTACGTACAACGGCGCAGCCAAGATTTCTCAAACGGGGGAGGGGGTAACACTGTGTCAAAGTGAGGGTACTCACCAGATTGTCATGGCGTTTATGCCACCTGTTGTAGGTTGTTTGCTTAAAAAAAAATGGCTTACAAAAGTGGGGATCACGGGCACCCCAAGCGCCACCCTTACCCCCCTAGCTGCGCCCTTGTGGTAATAAAGATATATAACAATTTTAACAGTGTGGTATAAAGTTAATCAACAAAGTCCATTTTAAATCAGCTATACAATTTAACATTTTAAAAATCATTCAAAAAAGTAAATATGAGGCAGTCACTGGCATGGCAACCTGATCTATTTACGCAAACATCCAATGCCTGTTTTAGTAACAGCAGCATATATAGTGGCAACAACGTCTACAGCCGGGGTAACACCAATAACAACTGCGGTAGCAATAATATCCATAGCGGCAATATAGATAACGCTTCACGCCTACAGAGATAAGTAAGAACACTGTCGTTAGGAAGAACCATTTTGTTTTCAGGGACGCGGAGAATTTGCGCAATTTCCCCCCGAAAAATCCTGCACAGCAATATCTGCTGAAAAGAAAATCGTGCAAAGGGAGCCATGGGGGAAAAATCAAGCAAACTTCTACTCTCCAGGTCTTTTGTTTGATGTTACAAAATATCTTGCACAAGCTATTGCCCACTCAAAAAATCCTGCTACAGCTAAAGGTGAGAAAAATAATTCATGCCCCATAAAATTGACCAACCCCCTCCCTCAAAAAAATAATGGCCCGTCCATTATGTAAGTACGAACAAGCGTTACTGCGAGTGAAACAATGGGATCAATTTTTCGAAATACTAATTTTTCGTTTCCAATGAAAAGTACAATTTTAACTGAAGCTTTGATTACAGTTGGTTGAAAAGGTCAAATATTTTTAGGCACTTAAAATTAATCCGAAATCAGTTAAAAATCGAGCCAAGACTAAAAAGACAAATTTTACATCATACCAGCCACGGTATTAATGAAAGTGCCTCTCTGTCGAAGCTAAAAGAGAGTTTAAAATGCTGTGTTGAGACTTTGAATGTTTAGATTTATAAGCAATTTTCACTGATTGACTTTAAGACCACTCAACATTGTTAATGGCCTTGTTAAGCGTGGGAGCGGGGACAATATCTGAGATTGTGTTCCCTATAAGACAGATCTCCTAAATATACTTTGTCACCTTCCCTCCCGTATCTCACTGAAACAAACTAGATATCAGACCGGGAGCTCAATTCCTAGTTGCAGACAAAGTTTTCTTCGGTTATTTCTGCCGTGTTTTTCTCATTCATATCTGTCATGTTCATTTCTTTAACATTTAGCTCAGGATTTCCGCAGTATCAGTTTTAAACTAAAACTCTCGAGTCTCAGTTGAGAACGTAACTAAAGTTTTGGTGCTTTCTCATCTATGACACTAGGAATTGCCTTTTATTCCTAAGCTTGTATTTGACTACATCTGATTACACTAATAGTTAGATAACAAACACTTACGCAGAGTGTGGGCCTTCTTGATGCGATAAATGGGCAGCTTAGCACACATATCAGCCATTTCATCACTAAGGATCGAGCGATCAGTGAGGGTCGAAACAGCATCAAATCTACTGTCGGACACGTTCTTTGGCGTTGAGGAGGAACTTTCCTGTGAAGAATAACAAAAAAAAACTCCAAGTAGGCGAACCTTTATTTTAGCCAAAGTAAATACACCCAAAGTCAAACCTGCAAAGGCAATGTATCTAGACAAGTGGAGAGGGACCTGGGTCGTCCAGGAGAGTACGCCGCTATCTCACCCCCCTAGTCCAAGAATTGTTTTGTTAGCTCGAANAGCCGTACTGGGTAATATTGGCCCTCAGTCGTTTTTGTACGGACCTCGCTGCGCTCGGTCCTTATTGCCACGACCTCGGGCCAATATTCCCCAGTACGGCCCTCGCGCTCGGTTAGTAAGAGGTTAACATTTTCAAAGTCAAATGGAGGCTATTGTGTTTATTAACCTTTAAATATTTTTCGCAATACGCGCAGTTTTGAAAAGTGGGAAATATTCTCGGATATTCCACGGTTTTCGGTCACGTGACGCGTTTAGACCGATCGCGCGCGAGCGAAAATATTTCATGGATCATAACTACTGATATTAAGTATGTTGAACATTAATTAATTAATAATAATCAAAAAATCCTGTCTTCTAAAAATTAATGACGTCATAGCGATTAGATCAATCCAGATTTTGCGAATAAATTACGTCGGAAAAGTTGCTCCAAAAAATCCTTTGAGCGTTTCAAAAAATGCTTAAAATAAGAAAAAGTGTCCCCGAAAAAACAAAAGTGGTTTCAAACAGCAAAAACATATTTCTAAAAATTTACTTGTCCCATAATAACCACATTACCAAGGAGGAAACGTTCAAAATTTCGAAAATTGAAAATCCCAATAGCTGCTAAAAAGTTCCTTTGCAAAAAGAAAAAATGTAAATCTTATTTAAAGTGGTCATACACTTAGATATACAAGCACTAAGTCTAACTAGTTTACAGGCATGCCACTGAAACAAAGGAAACAAAGGAAACAAATATTCAAACAAAGGAAACAAATATTGCAAAAAAAAAAAAAAAAAAACAATCTTCTGAAAGTTAATGTTGATTTTAGAATACCTTGTTACAAATCCCATCAGCAAATTAGATAGAAGTTCATTTTAAATTAACTTAACAATTTCACATTTTTGAAACCATCATAAAAAGATTTAAGCAATAGAACACTTTTTCCTTGTTTACATGTAGCTTTGCCTAAACACGAAATTCGAGACAGTTATGTGCATCTAGAGTTCGCATAACTTTGGAGAATTCTTCCAACCCCCAACTGTTAAAATGAGGCTATATACCTACAAAAAAACTACTCTGTTGTTTTTATGAAATATTTCTCAAGAATACGCGCGAATCTAAAACGTCACAACCGTGTTTACATACTCTCATCTAAACACACGCTGTCGACCAATAAGGGCGCGCGTAGCAGCTCAGTTATATTATAAAAGTCCTTAACAATTTGACGTTTTTAAAACCGTCATAAAAAGATAATGTGATAGCCAGAGACAACTAGCTTGATCTACATTTCACTTATGGTATCTCTCCTTCCATTTCCTACTCTCTTATTAACAACTCCGACAGCATAAATCGTAGCCACAATGGTTTAGAAGCGAGGTACCAATAACAACGGGGTGGTACGTACAACGGCGCAGCCAAGATTTCTCAAACGGGGGAGGGGGTAACACTGTGTCAAAGTGAGGGTACTCACCAGATTGTCATGGCGTTTATGCCACCTGTTGTAGGTTGTTTGCTTAAAAAAAAATGGCTTACAAAAGTGGGGATCACGGGCACCCCAAGCGCCACCCTTACCCCCCTAGCTGCGCCCTTGTGGTAATAAAGATATATAACAATTTTAACAGTGTGGTATAAAGTTAATCAACAAAGTCCATTTTAAATCAGCTATACAATTTAACATTTTAAAAATCATTCAAAAAAGTAAATATGAGGCAGTCACTGGCATGGCAACCTGATCTATTTACGCAAACATCCAATGCCTGTTTTAGTAACAGCAGCATATATAGTGGCAACAACGTCTACAGCCGGGGTAACACCAATAACAACTGCGGTAGCAATAATATCCATAGCGGCAATATAGATAACGCTTCACGCCTACAGAGATAAGTAAGAACACTGTCGTTAGGAAGAACCATTTTGTTTTCAGGGACGCGGAGAATTTGCGCAATTTCCCCCCGAAAAATCCTGCACAGCAATATCTGCTGAAAAGAAAATCGTGCAAAGGGAGCCATGGGGGAAAAATCAAGCAAACTTCTACTCTCCAGGTCTTTTGTTTGATGTTACAAAATATCTTGCACAAGCTATTGCCCACTCAAAAAATCCTGCTACAGCTAAAGGTGAGAAAAATAATTCATGCCCCATAAAATTGACCAACCCCCTCCCTCAAAAAAATAATGGCCCGTCCATTATGTAAGTACGAACAAGCGTTACTGCGAGTGAAACAATGGGATCAATTTTTCGAAATACTAATTTTTCGTTTCCAATGAAAAGTACAATTTTAACTGAAGCTTTGATTACAGTTGGTTGAAAAGGTCAAATATTTTTAGGCACTTAAAATTAATCCGAAATCAGTTAAAAATCGAGCCAAGACTAAAAAGACAAATTTTACATCATACCAGCCACGGTATTAATGAAAGTGCCTCTCTGTCGAAGCTAAAAGAGAGTTTAAAATGCTGTGTTGAGACTTTGAATGTTTAGATTTATAAGCAATTTTCACTGATTGACTTTAAGACCACTCAACATTGTTAATGGCCTTGTTAAGCGTGGGAGCGGGGACAATATCTGAGATTGTGTTCCCTATAAGACAGATCTCCTAAATATACTTTGTCACCTTCCCTCCCGTATCTCACTGAAACAAACTAGATATCAGACCGGGAGCTCAATTCCTAGTTGCAGACAAAGTTTTCTTCGGTTATTTCTGCCGTGTTTTTCTCATTCATATCTGTCATGTTCATTTCTTTAACATTTAGCTCAGGATTTCCGCAGTATCAGTTTTAAACTAAAACTCTCGAGTCTCAGTTGAGAACGTAACTAAAGTTTTGGTGCTTTCTCATCTATGACACTAGGAATTGCCTTTTATTCCTAAGCTTGTATTTGACTACATCTGATTACACTAATAGTTAGATAACAAACACTTACGCAGAGTGTGGGCCTTCTTGATGCGATAAATGGGCAGCTTAGCACACATATCAGCCATTTCATCACTAAGGATCGAGCGATCAGTGAGGGTCGAAACAGCATCAAATCTACTGTCGGACACGTTCTTTGGCGTTGAGGAGGAACTTTCCTGTGAAGAATAACAAAAAAAAACTCCAAGTAGGCGAACCTTTATTTTAGCCAAAGTAAATACACCCAAAGTCAAACCTGCAAAGGCAATGTATCTAGACAAGTGGAGAGGGACCTGGGTCGTCCAGGAGAGTACGCCGCTATCTCACCCCCCTAGTCCAAGAATTGTTTTGTTAGCTCGAAAGTGAGGCTGAGCCAACCTGTGGTACATTTTATCGCTGTACGCGAGAATCTCAAATTTAGGTCGCTAGCTACCTCTAGGTCAATACTGCAAGACCAAACTTTGAGATTTTCTAGTAAAAACCGAACGAACGGTCTGTACTGTAAGTCACATAATATTTGAATTAATTAGCGGAAAAAACCATACTGTTATTACCTCGTCAAGCGCCTTGAGCAGCTCATCAGGTTTAGGCGTACCTTCAGTAGAGTCACTCAGAAAACAAGCTTTTGCAGCAGAAAGTCGATGCATGGTTAAGTTCTACAAGAAAAATAGACGATGTTGTTACAAAAATGATGACTCCCATTCACTGACTGGTGTGCCCTGGAGTAAATGGTGTTTGGGTACTTGGAGTGCCCAGTGTCTGAACGCAACACTATTTTTTTGTCGTTTCCTAGACAACAGTGTCTGGTACCAAGTGTGAACACAGCCTGAGATATCGTTGAAATGACTAACTGACTCAATGAATTAAACATCCTCAAAACATGTACACAGTTAAATTCGCAACGACTTCCTTGCTAGCTCCCATACGTTCATTTAGGAATACTGACTCTATCCCGTTAAAAAGTAAGCGAATTGCGCAATCACACCTTCTTTCTCCCGTTGTAAATTCTATTTTACCTTTTTAAAGTCGAAGACAACCTTGACATCTCCTGCGTTCCCCGAGTTCGTCTTTGGAATACTCAGGGTCTCCGTTTGTTTTTCAGTGTCAATTTCGACTTCCTCATCAATCTCTTCATTTCCATCCTTCATTTTCACATTGTACTTGGACACGGTATCCTACAAGGTCAAAGAGACAGTCTAAATAACTGTTTTATAACTTCTGTAAGTAACAGATCCGTGTGCTTGACAGCAAAATGATCACTTGTATAGACTAACAATGACGTAAGGCTGATTACTGCGTGGAAAACTTAACGTGACAACGACATCCTAGAGTCCGGACTGAAAGCAAAATATTGCAACCGTGGACAGCTGTTTGGACCTGGTTGGTTCTCGTCAGCACGGTATAGTAGCAAAAACTAGAGCAACCAACTTGAGGGCATGTTTTCTACTAAATGCACCGGATAATAACCTCAGATGAAACTTAAATCCTACTGGAATGTTTCGTATCAGTTGAAATCCTCTCTGCTTTGAAGTTAAGTTACTCTTGGGCTTAAAGGGACGCGCGTTATGTCATTAATCCACCTGGCGGGGGAACGTTATATTAAAGTTACTGAGCATAGCAATTTATGAAAAATTTAAAATCTAAGGAAATCACTCTTACTTTTCTCATTTACCTTTTTCTCTTCACATTTACAGACAGTCGCAGCTGATGTGGCAGCAACAAGGATGGCTAGGCACAGAAGGAAGACCTTGAACTTCTGTTGAAAGGAAAACATTAAATGTATTAGATATGTGTGCTTTTGCTTAAAAAATAAAGCCAACAGCGACCTACGTGTCTTTAGAGACTGCATAGGGGACATTCTGATGCACGTAGAAAGGCTTCCATTGTAGGGGACTAAGAGGAGCGAAAAACTAACCAACCCACTGTTTCTAGTCCGAATCTTTCTAGGTCGGTTAATGAAGCTGTTGGATGTGTGTACTTTATATGGCTATGAGTTATTCTCCTCGCTAAAAGCACTAATGATTAAAAAAAAATTGTGAAGTAAAACTTACCATTTTTCTCTTGTAACAGAAATGCGACGGTTCTTCGTTCTTCTTATGGCAGGGGACTTGAACCTTTCTCCACTGAGAATGGATGCAGATTCACAAGCAAACCTTTTTTATACTGTTTGACGGGTGTCGAAAGTTTCCTGATAGTTAACTTGATACCAGTCCTGATTTATCCTTGTTTCAGCTCTTCTAATGTAACGACTTTGACCTTGTATTAGTTTTAGCACTTGCTTTACTGCGCATGTCAATGTTAGCACTTGCTTTACTGTGCATGCCAGTATTAACACTTGTTCTATTGCACGTGCCAGTATTAGCCCTTGCTTTAGTGCGCATGCCAGTATTAGCACTTGCTTCACAGCGCATGCCCGACAACTACTATTCAATAGCAGTTTCCCGGACTCATCCTAACCTGTACCTCAACCAGTATTTATGACAGCGAAATTTGACATCAGTTTTTATTAAAGGAGTTGCATAGATCCCATGCAGGCTCGTACTTGGTCAGTATTTCTTGCAGCGCGCGTTAGTCCAAATAATAATGTTGTTACACACCAAACGAGACCTCAAGACCTCTTATCAGCGCTTCCTTTAGCCGTAATAGCATTGCGCATGTGTCTCAATTATTCGCGACGGATTACATCACTAACCGTTCCAAAATCAGATTTGAAGCAAAGCGAGTAAATCTCGCAAGCTTCACGCCTACCACTAATTCATGTAACGCGCGATAATACAAACCTGAGCGAAATAAAAGAAAAGCTATTTCTGTGAATCCTGAATCCTGGATCCTATAATTTCCTCTCTATAAATTTTAGGTTTTGGTTCACCTTAAACTTTGTAAGCTACGGTATGTAAACGTCAGAAGAAATGGCCTCGGGCCGCAGTCAAGAACCCGTCAAAGTTTGTATCGATACGAACCTTCCACCGGCAAATAACATAAGTGTATATGTACAAGTTTTCAAAATTTATTGCTGTGTACAGAATAAACGGAATGCTTCAGTGTTGGCAAGGTAAATTTAACGGCACAAGCTTAATGTTTTTGGAGATCTTGAGAGTCATACAGGTATTAGACCAAAGATGGAGGAATTGGAAAATCACCGACATTGAGCAATAATTTAGTGCTTTTGAGACGACTAAGAGGAGATAAATAGGTCAGATCGAACGGGGAACATTCTGCATTTGGTCTTGAATTTTTCAAAATAGGAACTCTGTCACTGGAGTGTAATTCAAAGACTTCCCTGAGTTGGCGGCTCAGTTGTCGATACAGGCTCTGTAATATTTAATCAGATTCTTGTGTCGTTTATAAGTTTTAAAATCTAAAAGCCATTCCGACGTTTATGAGGTTAAACACATTTAGAGCTTGACTTTACGGCAATCAATTATATAAGCTGTTATCGCGCGCAGCTCTTGCTTTTGTCGTTGCCTTCTTTAAAAAAATTAATCAACAAATGCAAAATGTATGCCTAGTAGCCTTCTTTTTGTAGTCTTAGAAACGTAATGACTAAATAAGGGCCATTTAAATTTCTTCCTTCTTTGTCCTTATTAAGTGTCCCGATAAAGATTAACCTTCTCTCAAGAGGTTCACAAACATCAAGCTCGTGATTCAATTTGTCACGCCAACTTAATGGGAAAAAAAAATGTTTCAAAGTTAAGTCACAGAACCATACAGTGTTATTCTGTACGCATCGCTTAATTTCAAGTCTTATTCTTGACACTAATTTAGTACTTTGATTTATTCCACCATCTTGCAAAACATCAAGCTACTGTTTCAAGCTCATTGAGGTACAGTTCATTTCATGCGTTCATATGTGCCCGACCTGCCGGTTAATTCGGTTGCCGTATACACGTCCAATTATTATTAACTTTCATGTCACACAGACTCAGTCTGTTTGCGTGAAATGAGCTGAAAAGAAAAAAGTGTTTACTTTCTCTTATTTATCCCTTAGTATCAACTCGCATTGCACTGACGAGGAAAAGAGCAGGACAGGAAAGTGCGAGGCTCGTGGACTTTTCTCGCTCCTTTCAGATTCGTTTTGGGGGCAAATCATTATAACACTGTAAAGTTCCCGGCGACAGTAACAACCCCTGAAGTTAGCGACCCTATGAAATTATTATATATAACGATAAAATGTCATGTTTGTCAACAAATCCTAAAAGTAGCGGCCTTCCAAAAGGAGCGATACCAAACGCGAGGACTTCTTTTAAAACAGAGATAATGTAAATAAAAGACATAACAAGGTGATCCAGACTGACACGATTTTGTGTTAGATGATCATTATTACAGAGA